CGCTCCGTTGTCGCGGACTCTAACGTTTCCTAGATAATAAAAAATACATCGCTTCTGATCTCGCGAATGATCTCCCGTAACGCGAGGAGTTAATACTAATTTTTTTTTTTTTTTTTTTTGTTATTCCGCGTAATTTGTTCGGAGCGAAGATTGCGGAATGAAGAGACTCAAGGCCAATTAAGATTTGACACAGAGATACATCTCATCTCGCATTCTCTTTTGTAAAAGCTGTTATAAAAGTTTCATGGTTCCGAAAGTTGAATGTATTCCGTTTTACGCGGTTAAAGCAGAACAAAGATCAAATCTATCTATCGGACAAGCTGAAATGTTGTCTCTGTCTAAGTTTCGAATAAGCAAATAAATAAAGCACGAGTGTGCAGATTTCTACCGTTTTTTGTGAGTCTTTCTCAAATACTTGACGGTGCGAGATATACCTTTCACAAAATTGCACGAGCCGCGCGCGAATTGCTCGGCTCGAATTGCCGTACACTTGGCACAAGACACGAGCACGTCTGGTGATATTACTCTTACATATTGCAGTTAGATTATCTCCGAGAGAGTATCTTTACACGTAAAGAACATAAAAACATACATTGCACTATAGACAAATCATATTGTTCAAACAATAAAATCATCATTTATTAAAAGCTTAGCAACTGTAGGACTTTTGTGTTTTATTGGTTAATAAATTAGTCATGATCAATTAAATAAACTTTTGGCAAAAAAACGCAACGCACAGAAAGATAGCAGTCATATTTTCGTGTCGTATATAACTAAATATATGTAACTAAAATATATACATAAATATACACGTACAAATAGTTATGTATATTTAGTTATATATGTGTAATTTTAATTTATATATATATATACATATAAAAAAGCCGATTACAATAAATGTCTGATCCGATTTACAAAACAAAAAATTTGTAATTTCAATCCTGAAATTTAAATCCGATTCCATATAAGGATTTAAATTGAAAAACTTTCGTGATTTTAAATTTCTTGATATTATTTCGCACAAGATATAAATCATGATAAAACAAAATTTATTTGAAACCTATTCGGCGTTCTAAGTTCCGAAAACGCAATTGATCGAGAATTTTACTCATTTGTCGAACATATTTCGAAAACCTATTGTTTCTTTTTATTGTCTGACTGACTACCCGACTACAGTCAGTGAAATATAATATACTTCGTTTCATAACGTAATATATATTTATGTCAGTTTTTCTCAATTCTGCAATTTTTCCGTTATTTTTATTTTGCGTTTGCGTTTCCCTTGATCACGTAGGTGACAAAGAGAAGTAGTAATCAAAGTATACGTATGTAAGAAGATGAGATCATACATTCGTAACTAATTTTTGTGTGAGCGTTATTACACTTTAAATTACATCACGTTTCAATCAATAAATTACATCGCGTGTCAATAATTTCGCGCTTTTTTTTCCTAGTTTCTTCTATTTCTTGACTTCCATTACAAAGTGCCGACACCGTTCTATTTTTTTTCTATTTTCTTTCTTTTTTTTTTTTCAAGCGATCTTTCAATTTGTACTGTTGACTGTTATTACAGCGCGAGGTAAACCTGTATACACGACTTTTTTTTCCAGTGAAATTTTTAACAAACTCTAGTAAACTAATTAGCCGATGAGAAAGACAGAGACCACTCAAGCGTGTTGTTGTTCTGCTCTCTCTCTCTCTGATTTTCGTCTTGAATCACACCAAAAATGGCTATTCTTAATCTTCAAGTTCCTTAAGAGAATTGCGTTAATATACAAGGTGGCGCTCTAATATATAATTGGCTAAAAACGCCGTGATCAATTGACAAGGAGGATTGTGAATAAAAGGTACGTTGTGTTTTCTTAAATACGTGGTTATCTGATAAAGACAGAAGCTTTTTTTCTCACATTCTCCTCGTATCGCGTGATCGTTGCTTCTTTTCGCAAACGGCGCAATTTTTTTTTTTTGTTTGCGAAAATTCTATTAACAATAAAAATTTTCATAATACAAGTTCCACCAATACGTATTCATTCACGCATTATTCGTCATAGCACGAGGATGTTCAGTTTAATTTTTTCGGAAGAAAATTTTCTCACACGCGAATGTAACAAAATTTTAAGCAGGTGTGTTTATCAGATTTTTATTTAGATCGCTAGTGGTCCATTGTGATTTTTCTTTATCATATAAGATGTTAAATTCAGCCACCTGTACTTAGCCACCGGATTCGGCTTTCAACTTTTATGCTTTTTATCTCGTTGAATTTGAAAACTGTGTGTACGGCCTTTCGGAATTTGCGTCTTTTTCTATTGCGTCTTATCTATTCACGATAAACAGAAACATAAAATGCGCGGACACTTCTCTTTCTTTTTTTTTTTTTTTTCTTATCTTTACGCAGCCGAAAATTCTTTCATCGGCTCGACGTTGAACACAAGTCGTTCAACACTGGCCACGCTCGGCAGAACTGCGAGCGACTCTCGGTGATAAACGCTTTGTGATTATCGTTTTTGTCATTGGCATCCCGCTTTTACATTTGCATTTTAAAAGAAACAAAACCAATCCACAAACAATAAGCACAAATCGCCGAATATCACTGAACGCGGCCACGTTCAATATTGACCTATTCACAGCTTGAATGCGTCTTCGTCATCACTAACTAGACAGTCATCGCGAATTTGACAAGATGATCGCGATATGCTCTCTAATGATTTTTGTTTTTAATTACGAAAAAAGAACACGCCAACGATTCGATTAGCGGCTAGATTACCTCGTTTGAGACCGAGGAATTTCCTGTCTTGGTAACTGATAGCGGAATAATTCTAGCGAATATCTAATTCTACTTTACAATGATGGATTTTTTGTTTTTTTTTTTTATCTATGATGATACCGATTATTACGCAAAATTAATTTTTTCTACAATTCAGCTTAAAATCGAGAGTTCAATGATTTCACGCGATAAAACACTTCATCGAATGGAGATGACATGTACGAGTGGCAGTGAGGGTCATTCTAACGGCGTTCTCGCTAATTTCGTTTTTCTTTCCGCCGCGTAATCTCGATTTTGTTTTTTGTATATATAAACACGTATAAATATTTTGAGCAGTTCTGCATACAAGAGTAATTTGTCTCGTCATACGTATTTTCTCTAACAACGATTAATTCAGGACAAGTTGTATATCTTGCGTTTTTTTAATATACACATAAATACATAAATGGAAATCCCAGTTTTCCACTTGTTTTCTTTTTTTTTTTTTTTATCTGAACATTTTCGTAAGTAGTGAGTAGCGTTGCCGCGTAGTCTTGTATTCAGAACTAAGCGCAAAGAAAAGGAGGAACAAAAACCGAATGAAGTTCGGTGAGAGATTTAAATTTTTGATCTTACAACGAAAAAAACGCGCGTTTTTCTTTTCAAAAAATAAAAAAAAAAAAAAAAACACATAGTTTTGATTAATATCACGAGTCAAAATTATTTACAAATGATACAACACTGATAAACATCTGGTCAAAATCCGACAAGAGAAGATGTGCGCGATGTGCACGAAAAAAAAAAAAAAAACAAAAACCCAGAAACGATCGCACAATTGCATGCTATAATAATTATTATATAATACACGAACAGTCGAAAACAGTCTTCTCTAGTCTCAACACGCGCGAGCTATACACAAAATAAAGTCGTTACATATTTACAGAAAGAAATAAACGCAATCGGTGGTGTTTTTTTTGTTTTTTGTTTTTTGTTTTCGTTTTCGTAATGTAGGCGCGAACTAGATTTGTACAAATAGCGTTAACGAGTGAGCGCGAGTCGCAGAAGGTTTAGTGATTCTAGAGAACAATTTTGTTTTTTCGCAATCACCACGTAATAAGAGAATCTCCCTCTCTTTCAGAAGGGGGACATTCTGTTTTTTCTTCCAAGACCAGCTTTTATCTCGATAATCGCGTTCTTTACTCTCGAGTTAAAATGCGATTACCCGTTAATTTCACTATAATGCACGTTAAGAGTGCACGTTGAAGGCTGTCGCACGCAAATTGAGGTAAGAACTTATACACAATATACAGGATGACGCATACGTAAAGCGTGCCCAAACTATTTATCTCAGAAGATATCGATTCTCGTAAGAGAAGAGAAGCATTTCGAAGTGACTATAATAGGTGCGCGCGCGTGTGTGTGTATATGTCGAGAAAAATGATGTATCAAAAATCCATTGCGTTTATACGCACACACGAAGAATGCGCAATTGATAGCTTCTTGAGGCAAAACAAGCACAGCGCAGCAAAAAATCGTCATCGAAAGTTAAATTTGGAATAACAATAAACGTTGATCGATACGAATTAACAATGAACTTACGTAACAAGATTATCGATATCTTTTTGAGACGTGATCTAAGAATAAGAAATATCATCTTTATAACTTTAGTCGGCATAATGTTCTATGTGTCATTTATTACATCGAGGATCACTCGCAATTTTCTGATCTTTAAATACAAAAAAATGATTAATCTTTAAATGTATATAGTACAATCATTGTACGTATGTGTATTATAACATTCCGTGTATCCCGTAACTGGAAAACAGATCAAAAACCTGGAATAAAACTTTTTTCACATAAGTTTGTAAAACGTTTTATAAACGTTTTTCGACGTATATTTTCAAGAAAATAACTTGAAAAATTAAAAATTGTTTTTGACATATTTGTATAGTAAATTGAAATTTACTGAGACGTTTTTGGAATTTGATTTTAAAAGCGATTATTCTTGGAAAACAAAACTTTTTACAAAAACGTTTACTCTATATTTTCGATTTATATATTTTCATTATATAAAATAACCTCTGTGTCGTCTGTATCATCAGTTACGGAATACTTTATAGAATAGTAATTCACATTTTTCTTTAAAGACCAAAATGACGAGTGTCCGATAGATGTGTTAAGAAATTATACTTTTATTATACGCGTACTTTTGTGTATAAGTAAAAATTGTAATCATTCTTTAAAATCGATACTTTAAAAAAAAAAAAAAAAAAAAGTTACTGTCACGCTCTGACGCTGCCTCAACCAGTATGTTCGCGGACGATCGTCTATGAGGAGCTCTGAATAAAGCAGTTTCGGCTTTTTTCAAGTAGCTCTCAGGTACACGAATAATGCTTATCGTATAAAGCGTCTTCTCGTTTCTCATCATCGACACAGAAATTGCACTTCCTAGCAAAAATTACTGCTGCTGCAACGTGGCCAGGAAGTCCAAATATCTGTGCTGCATGTAACCTCAAGAAACCTGGCCAATCTGCGCCTGCGACGTTGACGATGACGACGACGACGAGGAAGTGGACGCTGTAGTCGTCACAGGTGTGTACAGAGTAAACCCGTCGTAGACATCCATCAAGTCACGCATACTATACTCTTCCAAGCAGACGAACCCTTCTAACGAAGGAGCCTGCTTTCGAGCACAGTCCATACAATGCACTACATGGCGTTTCTCTTGCTCGCGGATAAATAAGACGTTGAACACTTCAATCTGAAAAAAAAGGTTTTTTTTCGACTTTTTATAAAATAAAAATAATTTTTTGGCGACAATATATCGACAGTTTTGAGTTTATATTATCATCTCTTCTTTTGCTTATAAATAAAACATAAACATTCCAAGTGAAACGCACCTCACATTGGCCGCAGTAATGCGAAGCCTCGTTCTTACCACGGCCGTGAAAGCGCATTTCGATGCGTTTACTCCGAACGAACTCCAGAATCAGACAACACTGTCTCATTGTCCGCAATAAGCAGTTCTTGATCAACTCGAACAGTCGTGGATCCGAAACTTTGATATTACGCGCCAGATTCCACGATAGATGTACCATTGGCACGATTGATTTGAACGCTTGCAATTTGTTCCACTCGTAACGCTCGATCGCGAGTTGATATTGCCGAGCGGTGAGCGGACCGACGTTCCAAGCGATATTGTTGCACCAACCGATCGCTTGTACCCAATGTACGCAACCAGCGTTCACCCATACGAGATCACCGGGTCGTTGAACGAACTTGTACACCGGGATATTTTCCGCGTGCAGATCCGCAATGTTCGGCCACCAGCTGCCGTGCAAATAACTAATGCCGTTGCGTTCACAGAGCGAACATATTATGCCCCAATAAGCGTCCGGCACTGCGAACCATTCGCAGTCGCCCGGTCCGATGTTGATATTAATAGAACAGAAGTTGTTGTTCTCCTGATGACCAGGTGTTCTACTACCAGGTACCTAAATACGATTATATACAATTATATATAACTTATACATCTACATGTAAAGTTCGTTCTACCGTAACTATGTATGAAAACTTTATTACATTAATATTTTGGCTATATATACCTTCATGTATAACTGCACAGTGTTCATTCCTAAGATCACATGTCCCACGTGGCTGAGCATGTTGCCAGCTGACACGACTCTGGTGAATGCCGGTAATTTCATTAATTCCATCAATTGTTGTTTCCACTTCTTCTCATCCGATAAATCCACATTAGTACCGAAACGGATCATCTTGGTGCCCGGTCGACCAGTCAGACCGAAGCTATTCTTCTTGCGCCTTACAGTTTGTCCAGTACTGTCTTTTGAGTCAGAGTCCGATAGGTTAGAGTGCGAGCTACCCTGCGCTTTCTCTTCCCTCAGACTTTCCTGAAAACTAGAAGCTTGATACTGTGCGTACTTGGCGATTGTCGTGTGACTGCGATGACTTATGCAACCCCAAACTTTCTTGTTCAGCATCGGATCCCAGTTTTCCTCACTGGTTTGCTGCATCTGTGTTCGTACTTCGATGCCGTGATCAGGATTCGCTTCGACCAGAGTTTTAGTTGAAAAAAGACCTAGATCGAGCTTGAGAGCAGCAGCGAGACCACGTATCACAGCAATCGGATGCTTTAAGCAGAACTCCTGCAAGTGCGGATTGAAGGCATCCTTCTTGTTCTCCAAGAAGATACTCGGTGCGGGTGGCGAAAGTTGCTCCTTCGTCAACCGTTGACTGGGCGGATCGGGAGGCGCCGGCGGTGGCGAACGATCGCTGAGTATCGAACAGTTCGGCACACCGTTGAGTCCCTGACCCTTACACGCCTCGACCACTTCTCTGGCGCTCATAGTAATGCTGAATTTTTGCTCCGGTTGCGATTCGCACAACGACTCGAGCTGCAAATTCATCGTAGGTTCCGTCTTGGGGACAGCGGCTACCTCGTTCCTATTTGTTACCGGCACTGTTGTTGTCATGTTGGAAGACAATGACGTCGCTTCGCTCTTCACAGGTGACTCCGTCATCATCATCGTCGGCTGCGTCGTCACCGTCGTTGTTGTCACAGTTGTCGTTATAGCAGCCGTCGTTACATTTTCCGTCGTCGGCTGTGTCGATTCGGAAGTTTCTTCTGGCTTCTCTAGTTTCACCACTTCCTTCATCTTGTCAGCCGCGGCCTCTTCGGGATTCGATGGTGAGAACGGACCGGAACTTAGTGTACCAGTGTCATTGGTGACACCGCTGTTCGATGGTTCTTCCTTTACAACGGTATCCAAATCCTCAGAACCGAAGTGTTTGAGAAGATCTTCCGCTAGCGACGTGGCGATGTCTTTCTGCGACAGTAATGCCTGCAACTCCTGATCGGTCACACCTAGATTGTCCTTAGTCGTCGCGACCGTTGCGGAATTTTCTTGAAAATTGCTAGTCGCTGACGATACTTGTGTATAGCCCTGAGTAGTATACTGATTCGGTTGTTGCTGATACTGACTACCGTATTGAGCGCCGGTAGTAATTTGCTGCCTCTGAGCCGGATAGGTGGGATCAGAAGCCGATTTATAAGGCATTCCTGGTGTTTGCGTAGTATTCCCGGTCGCCGCTGTGTTGTAGCCGACATTGGTATCAGAGAAGCCCGTCTGCAGCGCGACGGTACCTCCTTGTTGTAACTTGTAAACAAGATAGTTTAGAAAGAAACTGAATTATAATACGTCAAACTATTTGTATACTTTTAACACAAAATGTGCGTATTTATGTAAAATTTAACAATGTAGAATTTACAATTTTTAAATTCTCTGGAAGTAAAACTTAATTTTTTTTAATAAAAATTTTTATCTATTTTCAAAAAATTCCTTTCTAAAATTCTAAAAATCAAATTTGTCAAACATCAATTCTGAAAATTCTTTTGTGTCGAATATACTGTTAACTTTTTATTTTAAGTAGGAGTATATTTATTATTTGTCTGTGGATATTTTGCAAAGTTTTTTGCGTTTGAACATTTTTATACTTGTCTTGCGTTTTTAAAAAAAAAAGATATTATTATTTATATTATTTACCGGTTGCTGAGGTATGCCATAGTTCTTGATAATATTTGACGGCTGGCCGATGTTTTGAGGATGTCCACCGAAGATTGTGGGATAACCGGGTTGACCGGGTCTCAAACCCCGCTGCGTTGCTTGTTGCTGCTGTAACCTGATTTGCTGCTGCTGATGCTGCTGCATCGCACGGTACTGAGTCTGGAGTTGAAGGAACATGCTTTGTTGCTGAGGCGTAAGAGTAACATTGCTATGTTGGAAAAATTGCAACAGTTGTAGTTGCTGTGACGTAAGGTAGAACGGCGGCCGTTGTTGAGGCGCGGTCGCAATCGAGTCATCGTTCTGTGTTAAGAGAAAATTAAAGACATTTCATTACCTTATGAATTTGATTAAGTTTGTATATATTTATTCTTTTTTCTTAACAATTCAAATTCTTTATCAACTATACTATTGTATTTCTAAAATAATTAACACAAGAAATAAAATAAATAAACTAAGTAATAAAACTCACAAATATTTCTGAAGAATAGAATATTTCTGTTTTTCTGACATACTTTTTTTTTTAAAAAAACTCACCTTAAATCTTTTAGTGGTCTGCGCCTGATTTTGTGGGTAAGGCGGCGGCGGGCCAGTGGGAGTTGCTCCGTATTTATACGATTGTCCACCGGGTTGTTGCTGCTGCTGTTGTTGCCGACTCGACATTTCTGCGCTGATCGGCAGATTCCACGCTTCTTCGATCGACGGCAACTGCCGTCTCCTAAGCAAAGAAAGAACAATTATAATAAAAACAAGAAACAAAAAAAAATTATTTTTAAACTTTGTAACGGTAAAGTGTAAAATCCACAGTTTGCTTGTATATTATTCTAATTTTATAAACACACGTTTATTTACTCTTTACGTATCAAACTTTTCACGAGAAATGTACGTGTTTTATTCTTACTTCATTGCGTATTAATCATTTTATTTTCTCACAAATAAATAAACAATCAAATAGAAAATAAACTTCAGAATCAACTGAAATAGCATTATTGTAAATATAGCTGTTCTTGTGCATCGATTTTCTTTGGATTTGATTTCTTTATAAGCACTTACTCGGGTGTCTTCCGACCATCCATAAATACAACTTTTCGGTCTGTAAACACTTCTGCGACTGAATCCGTTCAAATGTAATATCAAGGAAAGAACGATGTACGGAGCGGAAAGAACGCGGAGTGGAACGAACTTTTCCCGTATTGGCTGATTTGATTTAGCCAATACGGTATTTATTTTGACAATTCGTAACGGTCTTTGTTATTGACAGGTAAATAAGGACATCGACGTTTAGTGTGTTCGTGACTTGAATGAGCACGTATATACATGAAATGAAATAATATAAATAATATCAATGCCTACTTGACGGTTTCGATAGTTTTACTTGCGTTGGACCTTTGTCGAGATAAACTGCGTGTCTCGAACCAAGTGATGCGCCAGTGTCAACTTATAAAAGTTGTAAAATATTCTGTGTGAAATATTTCTAGAAACTCGGATTAGAATAGGTCACTCTGTAAACTGGCCTAGATTGTCGAACGTCGCATCGTATTGAATTCTTTTCTGTGAAGATACTTATAGTTTATTGCAAAAAGCAAGATGACTAAAAATAAAGATCACGTACTCTATAATTTTATAAAAGTTCATTTTGATATCCCTCTGACTTCAAAGAAATATAAGCCGATTAAAATAGAAAACATTCTATATATTTTTACAGCATACTATATAAAACATTTTATACAGTATAAAAATACATAATATTTTATAATAAAATTTATACATATAAAATATATAAAATACATGTTCTAACATGTAAAGTTATATGTTATCTCTTAGCGCACACAACTTTGGAATCTGTCGAAAGCAACACTGTTTACAAATATGGATTTAATAACAGTAATTTAACAGTGATTTAACAGCTATTTTTCTAACGCATTTTTTATCTCTTTAGAGTCGAGATTAGATAATTCAAAAATAACAAAGATTGTTAAAAGAAAACTCTCGATTTTTTTAAAGACTTGTAAATTTTTAGAGACTCATGTAAATTTTTAATTAAACAAGCCTTTGCAATCTCTGTTAATTTCTGTTGTAAATTTAAATTCTATTTTATAAGAATTTTTTTTTTCAGAAACAATTTGTTAACTATAATCAAATTTTCTTTAAAAAACCAAGGAGTAGTCTGATACAAAGAGCTAGTGTAATTTTTTGTCGAATTTGATTTTTTAAATAAGAGAACTCACTTAGTAGCAACAGAAGGCATTGGTGCTTGGCTTAGATGACTTTGCAAAAAGTTGATGCGCTGTTGGAGGGACGGGTTCATCGGGTTATTGCCGTCGGACTTGACGCCACCCAGACCCGCCAGTGCACCCGTGCAATTCGCTGCGGCGTTGTTCCCTCTATGCGAAGAAGAGACGAAAGTTAAACCGGAAATGATTTAGTATGCGATCAATTTAGGTTTTCACAATTGTCAAGTGTAGTCTCAGCTTGTGAACACCTACAAAACTATCATTATAAACATAAAAGACAATGTGCTTATTAATGTTAATTTGATGTCAAAGAGACAGATAACAGTATCTGTAGTTTTTATAAAAAAAAAAAACAAAGTTCTTAAAATATCGTAAGTTCTAAAACGCAACTCACACACACCTGGATGCGTTAATGTAACAAGCCAGCGCGTCTTTTGGTTGACTGACACTTTCGTACAGTATACCCAAATTGGTCCAAGCGGCCGAATGGGATTTATCGAGCTGTACGGCGCATATGTAGGCCTGCAGCGCGTCCACAGGCTGATTCTGTTGCTGATACAAAACACCTATACTACACCAAGTGTCTGCATTGCCTTCCGACTTCTCGACAGAATTCCTGTCAAACAAATAAACAATGAATCGTAAAACAATAGAAATTTTTTCACTTAAATCTTTAACTTTTTTTTTATGTAAAAGATATAATTATCAAGAAAAATATAAAAATTATACATAGAGTACGGTAAATTTAAAAATATTCTAAGAAGCTTTATACAGGGTGTCCCAGAATAGCCGTACAATCTCTCGTAGGCAGATAGAAGGAATAAAACTGAGTCGAAAAGTCCTGAACCATTTTTTTCTATTATTTATAATAAAGGAGTAATTATTGAGTAAAGCGGGCCAATCAGCGCAGACCTTTAGCCACGCGCACGTCAGTGAGCCGCGCGCCTGGTGTTTGTGAGCGCTTACTGACGTGCGCCTGGCTAAAGATCGGCGCTGATTGGCCTGATTTACTCAATAATTACTCCTTTATTATAAATAATAGAAAAAAATGGTTCAGGACTTTTCGACTCAGTTTTATTCCTTCTATCTGCCTACGAGAGATTGTACGGCTATTCTGGGACACCCTGTATATAATTATATCAAGTTATGTAAGATAATTATATAATAAAAAAGACGAAATATTAATTAAAAAAATATATATACACACTTCATATTGATGTATATTACACACCTGTACGCGATAAAAGCTTCGTGAACTTTCCCTGAAGCAGCAAGACAACGTCCCAGAAGATAAAGGCTCTGCCCGCTCTTGGGCTCCGCTTCGATAGACTTTTGTAGGTAAAGAATAGCTATAGTCTGTTTTTGTTGTCTGTTAATGCCCAGCACTGTACTTTCAACCACGTGGCACATCCATCCTGTAAGCAACGAGTGGAACAAGCTTGACTACACTTCTTTTTAAACCTCCATCTGTTCTCTCACACGCACCACACACGCATCACACACACACACACACTCACTCCTACTAAAGGTACACCCGACGCGACGAGACTAGACGGTGCCTGAACGCTAGACAACGAGTGACTGAACTCTGATAGAATAGATCCTCAGGTATGATCCCAAGACGTAGAATTTAAACCACCTAGGGTAGCAACAGCTCCTATTCGCTATGTCCCTTCTCTCTATAAGGTTCCGTTCTCGAATTACGTACTACTCCCCTTCGAACATAGGCGCAGCAATGCAAATATAAAACACACAATTTTTGCTTTCTCATGAAAAACGAATCGTTTCTTACTTTTTATCTCTGTCTTGACATTGATGTGACATCAAATAAAAAATAACAAAAATATGTACATATTTTTAAGAAAACACATTTTATGTATATTTTACAAAAAGAAATGTAATGTGTAATGTGAAATTAAAGAATGTTTCTTAGAAAAAGATGTAAAACAAATTTTGCGTAGAAAAAAAGGTGCAGAGAGTTGTATTGTACACATCCCTCGGTTGCGACCTAATCTAATCTAATGCCTATATGTGTGCGATAAAGTCTCTCCCGACGCTCACTCACGAAACCAACTTAAATTATCGATACATTCTTAAATAAACAATAAGAGCTACGGTAACAACAGCTAGGATTATGACAAATACTTGACCTTGACAAATACTTAAATATTTTACGAAATTCCTTCCTTTGGACAAAGTTTTATTAGACACGATCGTTTTTTTGTTTTTTTTTTTTGTTTTTTTTTTGACAATTCGTAATATTTTTTCAAACCAAAGGATATGAGACATCAGACACGCTTTCTCTCCGAAAAACGTAGAAGAATCTCCGTTTCACTACTGTGACTTTTGATTTTTACTTTTAAATCGCATATTTTTAATTCAAAGTTCTACTTAACTGCATGTAAAATAAAGTTCGTTTCAGAGAAATGATTTTTTTCACGATTTTATTACATTTTACTACATTTTACTTCACATACGCTTGTGCAAATTTAGCTAGCAATAAGTGGTGGAATATAATGTAACTTATTTGGTCTGTGAATAGAGAAAATCAAATTTTCCGTTTTTGAAAAAATCAAAAGAAAGGACGCAACGGACAAAGTAAGGCATGAAAACGAAATTTTCACAAAAGAATAAACAATGAACAGTCGGCTGATCTGCCAAGACCCATAAACAAGCTATAAAGGAGACGTCTCAGAGTATTTCAAGGCGATATAGTAATATCGATGTTTACACTGCATCCTTGGAAAAATGCGTTTGAAACGTATCTTCGAGCAAAGGAACGTTCCAGATTTCCTAAGAACTAATTCGTTTCAAGTAAAATAACAATGTCAGGACTAACACTGTGAAAAGCGTTTTTTGTGGTTTTGTCATTTGAAAAGCAACGAGGACATCGAAACTATCTAAAAGCGCAAGGAACGTTGGAGATACGTTTGTATCTGAGACGTTTCTAGAAACCAATCTGAAGAGACATGAAAATATTTTTGTTACTATCACAGGTACAAGAAGCGAACGAATAAATCATCAACTCCGATCTGATGTGATTTGCCCGCGATTCTCGAAGGTAGATAACAAAGTGTCATCCTCAAAGATAATGCGAGCCGCAAACAGCAATTGTTCGATTCAATCGTCGCGATTCAGCTTCAAAATTCGGCCTAAGACTCCCGTCCGGCCGGCTGCACTTCCGCCAAGTAGCAGCAGGCACGTGTATTGATTTATTCCGGGGTTAGGGTGGGTTGAGATGAGTCGGGGAGGCAGAGCCAAGGAGGGACAGATTGAATGAACGACAGATAGAGAGGGTAGGAAAGGGCCCCCGGTGAATGGAATGAAAAGAAAGAGAACGACTACCGAGTTGTGGGAAAACTATCCTAGACCTTCGTATCCTGCTCTATTCCACGTTTCGCTTCTCCTTCTTTCCTATGCGTGTATGTACCGTCGTTGTTTCGCAACGGGGGTACAGTGAGTACATGCTAAAGGAAATCTCCCCGTAGCGCGTATCGAAACCCCCCTTGGGCACTTTTAAAAAATAAGAGTGCACTTGGTCAAAGTGACACACCGACAACACATTTAACTATTTTACACTTCAGTTGCTCCAGTATTTACACGCATCTACATACATGCAAGTATTAATGTTCTCCTTGTACGATTTTTTTTAAGTTTTTATAATTTTTTTCTTAGAAATAATATATATATATTTATATAAGTAGAATAAATTTTGTATTTTGTGTTTGTTTCACTAGAACTTCTCTAGTCAGATATATGTTTAAAAAATCGGTCGTAAAATAAATAATTAAATTTATTTACATATGCAATATATGTATCTCCTCATTCAGTATAATTATTCAGTGTCCCGATTATTGATAAGCGGAAAACTCACCTAATTGACGATAAATATCGGCCTTCAAGTGTGACGGAAGGACCTTCTCCTTTAACAGCGCCTCGTAACGCTCTTTCGCCAGCCGATACTTGCCCTGAACTTCATACAAATGCGCGACGTGAAACTTAACTGAAACACGAGAGAACGACGTTCGTCGATAAAGTTCAATTTAACTGCTAATTAAACGAAATGAAAAATAAATTGCACCGCTTGGGTGAGATATACACACGTCGGATACATAATCGATGCTGAGAAACGAAGATATATTTAGATTCGAAAAGAGCGCAACAGTTGATTTCATATATATTTCATAATGCAATACTGCAGAGAGAGCGCAACACGCGCTTACATCGGTGTTAAAAATTGACGCGTCCGATGCGGGGTTAAAATTTCTCGCAACTCAAATGGCACACATCAAAGCGCGGAGGAGATGTGCGCGCAACTGGTGCGAAAATGATCGGCGGCACGTTATTTAAAAGCGCGGTTTCCGGAGGGAAGAATCATTCTTCCCGCGTATTTTTCAATTCCGAGTATCATCTGTACGACGAACGACTTCACGAAACTTCACGAATCATCATTCTCGCGGAGAACGCGGGCAATTTAGTAGTCATGAATCAGTCGCGGTCATCAACGTGAATCATCTACGAAAAACTTTCGTGTCATCAGAAATCGGATGTGTAACTGAAGAGCACGTGGAATCTTCACAAGTTGAGACTTTAATTTGAACGATAAAAAAAACTGTAATTCACAGTCGTCAATTTCGTCAGCAAAACGGAAAATCATCTTATTGCGCGTTTTTTTTTTTTTTTTTGAACTTCTTAGTCATTAACACATTTGTAATCACATCGACATTACGGTAAACAGGTTCAGGAAAATTTCAAATGTGATAAAAACATTTTCTTCATTCTTCGACATTCTTCAGATTTTTTTTATCAGATAAAAGATTCTAAATCTTAACTTCAAATTTAAAAAGAGCGAACGGAGAAAGTTGATCGAAGATCGGTCGGAAAGAATCGAACTCAAAAAATAAAAAAAAAAAATAAATTACAAATTTGCGGGGTGCTTTCTAGATTAAAGAGTACAAGAGAGAGAGTAAACGGAGTTTACTTACTCTCGAGTTTAGAGAAAGAAGCAGGTGTGGTGGCATCGATCAGAGCAAGGGTGAGGTGCTTTAAGGCAGCTTCAAACTCAGCGTGGACCTTCAGCATCAAGCCGAGCCGTAGGTGAACCTCGCAGGCCCGTGGAAATCCCGGTTCCACCCATAGCACCTGCCGGAATGCTTTTATTGCCCTGCAAAAACACAATATATACATTCAAATTACTTATACAAGATGCAAATAAATAAAAATAAGAGCAAAGAGCTCGAGTAAATTGCAACTTGTCAAAAATTCTATGATCTAGCTGTAATAATAATTGTCGCAAGCGCATTTATTTTGTTCGAAACGTTACGGTTGTCGAAACGAGATTGTTTCGCATTATTCTGCGCCCTCCCGTTTCTCGGAACATTGCCACCCTGTTCACGCGACGTGGCGAAGGTGGACACGCCGGAAGTGATTAGTATATAGCGCTGTCACGCGACAACGAAACTCCCCGGCGAAAGAAAGGAAGAAAAGGAAGAGGAGGCGCGGCAATGTGCATAACAGCAATTGTTGTGAATGATATATCGCGAGCCAGCACTTGCAATCGATACCACGCCGGTATCGATTGCATGAGTGCATACACGGAAAGCAGGAAACGAGTAATATGCGTGCAAAAACCAAGTGATATGTGCCACAATGAACGGACAATAGCTACGGTATAATATAATACAAGAGCTTGTTTCTTAATATAACACGCTTCGCTAACTTTTCCTGAGAAAATCTCTCCCTTGCGAAAATCCCCCTTGCAAAGTGTCTTCGCCATATGATTTTTTTTTATACAAAAAAAAACAATCCTGCGCACATTCCCTACTACGACAATTCCCAACTTATTAAATATGCGCTGTTTATTTTTTTTCATTTTTTTTTGTGCCACTTTTATTTTCCAACAATCGCATTAAAAAAATATTAATTTTATATATCTTGCTGGTATAAAACCTGATTTTTTCCTCTCTTCTCCACATTCCAAAAGATATTATTCAAATATATATAAATATTCGTGCGCGTAAATTGATATAATTTCGTAAAATTTTCGCCGTTATACATTAAAATCGCATTTACATTTTTATTATTCTCTATGTGTAAATTTTTACAGATATTCCTGTAACTTTACACACTTTTTCCGCGGCGTTTATATCGGCTGCAATATGGCCAACGTTGCTCGAAAACACCGGTCCCGTTAGATCATTAAAGTTCAAACGACGCTAGGCACAAACCAACACGTATCATTATATATACGAGTGACCGACGCACGGTCACGCTGACAACCGTAGAAAAAATTCATCAAAAAACAAAACCAAAAAAAAAATAAGAATCAATTCACAAAGAACTGGCGCGGCGTTTCCGAGTGGGAAACAGGACGCGGAATATACGACCTTTGAAGAAATAAAATACAACCTCATTCCAACTTTGGTCTATGCACCGCTAAACCGGGCACGCGCGTGTCGTAGTTATATAAACCTCGCATGTTTGTATGTGCGCGACACACTTTTCACAGAGAGTGGGATTATGGCACACTTTTCCTATCCTACGCGAGCGGTTATGAAACACGAGCGACGTAACGCGCGCGCGGCCGCGTGCGATTACCGCCGCCGTGTCTAACAGCGTTTCCGTATATCAACGCTCGATATGAACTTTCCACCCTTTCGACCCTCACGAACTCCCAGGTTTTGTAAAAACCTTCTCAGAAACCGAAGTGATAACCTCCTCCTTTTTACAATCAAAGTGAACGTGACCGAATTTCTCAATGTTTTTAATTTTAAAAGGTCTTTTATTTGTTTGTTTGTTTTTTCTTTTTTTTTTTTCATTAATCTAACCGATCTAACTCGATCTAATCAATCTAACCAATCTGACCGCAACTTCTTCGTGTTTAAGATCTATGTGAACCGCACTGTTCTACGTTCTTCTTATTCAACTTGCTTTGAGTTTCGACGATTTTTATTTGTTTGCGGCCAAACTTTTTGATCTGACGTTCTAACGTTCGAATATCTCGAATAACTCGGATACCGGGATAGTGTCAGACTCAAACGAACTTCGAAGAGTTCCGTTATTTAAAAACAAGCGAGTAAAAATAAAAAAAATAAAAAAACAGTATCCGATTCAACGCGTTTTATCGCATTAAGTGCAAAGGGTATGACATATGCGTGGCACATCGAAAGTTTTCAATGTTGTGAAAAGGTTAAATAGCTGCCCACGCCGTCACCTTTCGCCGAACGCGACCTGCGTTTTCATGAGGTCGCATTGTCGATCGGTGTTTAAAAGCGTCAGCGTTTTATGTCGAACTATGAAGATCCATGTACTTCCATCAGGAAGAAGTTGACGCGCGGTTGTAAACGTTTTGTTCAAAATCTAAATGGCTAAAAAAAGTTCGAAATGAGATAAAACAGTAAAACCCGAGGGAAAAGAGAAATCGGTCATCGACGCCTCCGTCGTTTGTCTTCGTCGTTCACGCGAAAGAACAGATAGCACCACCGCGGTGGTAAATTCATTCACAAGAAAGCTCATTCATCGCTTCATTCACTCACTTCGTTTCCTTTCGGGGTTTGTTGTCTTCGGCAATGAGTCACTGCCGACGCGCGCGTCGAGAGCCGAACGGAAAGAGAAATGTCAGTGACTCGCTCACTTCTTGCAAAACTGGCGCGTGGTGCTATAAATCGATTGCACCGAGATATTGAGATGCTGAGAGAGAGAAGATTGCAAAAAAAAAAAAAACCGGCTAGTAAATCATTCAGTCGAATTGATATTTGCGTTAAGGCAAATGTTCCAACAATCGGACACGCACCAATAACGAGGCTTTCATCAAAGTAACAATTATTAGATGAGTGTAAACAAACAATCAAACAATTTTCAATACTTTAAGTATTTTTCAATTTTTAACCACGTACTTACAAAATACACAAATGTACATATAAAAATGCGAGATGTTCGATGTTTCAAATTTCGTTAAATATTTCAGAGTTTTATTTATCGGAAACTGAAAGGCGCGAAACATTTTTAATCGCACGAGTATGAGTTTTCACAAAGCGATACACGGCCACCAATCTCACATGCGGACAACCAAGTGTCATCGAAATTCGAATTCCAACTGGTTAGTTTTCCATTAGTTTACGCTCTGCATATTATAAAAAACGGGAGAAATCGTGGGGGTAACCCAGATTGCGACTTTGCGTGGCAAAGATGTGTGTGTGTGTGTGTGTGTGTACGCGCGCGCCCTAAATATAATACGGAAGGCGCGAGAAACACGATCGTGAAGTGTTGCGAACGTAAAACAGAAAGAAAGAGAGAGAAAGGGAGGGGGTTTACAAATGGAGTCGTTAGGGTTATGTGACGTGCGAGTGGCGAGAAAAAGAGAGAGTGTTGCGATATCATTAAGGACGATCTCGCAAAGTCCGGGACCTTCTCATTATCGCGTAACACCTCGAATTTCCTGGACACGAGAGAGAGAGAGAGAGAGAGAGAGAGAAAGAGAGAGAGAGAGACGTTGGTGTGTCGCGTCGCGAGCTCCGGCGCATTAGGGTGCATTTTAATGCACCCTTCGAGCGAGCAAGCGGCCATTTAGCACCTCATAAATTAATCGCATGCAAGTATGATTCAGAGTAAAACGCGCGCGACTCGTCCGTTTGTTGGCAATTTCCTCCGTTAAGAGAGACCCACACCACAACTTTCCAGACACGAGCGACACCGATGGGTCGCTCCTCCTTCGATTTAGAATTCAGATAAGATTTTAGAATCGCGGATTATTTAGCGTTTAAGGCGGATATTATTATCTCTTTCTCTCTAACAGAACTTACGTCAAATCTTATCAGTACTCTCTTCCTCTCTCCTCTCTCCCTCTTTTTCTTTCTTTCTCATCTTCGTACACACACACACGAAAAGATTCTTTTGTTTTATTCCGCTCGAACAAAGTACCACTACGAGTCAGCACTATCCGAGAATAAGATTGCGCATTGTGACAGAAGGCGCGAGTTAGAGGGTTCGGTAAGGCTCTTGCAATGTGCATTATCGTACCGTCATCACTAGAAATACCGACAGTCATACGCACACAAGTACAGGCTTGCGCGCCGCGCGATGCGGCTTGTGCAACGGTACACCGAGATGCAGTAATGTCTGGTGCATTTGTATTCACAGCGAGTTGTTTCCTCAGTACGTACCACTATCTAACACCATCTTTCTTTTGTTTACCAGTAACCGTCTAACTGTTTCAAAACACATACGCAGATCGCAAGTACGTGAACAAATTTAATATCACACTGACATTATAAATTTCCTGTTATATATATATATTTTTTTCTAATTATATATATATGTATCTAATTGTAAGTTATGTATATATATATATATATCTAAAATATATATATATAGATACATGGATAAATATAGATATCTAAAATATATATATATCTAAAATATATATATATAGATACATGGATAAATATAGATATCTAAAATATATATATATATATATATTTTCTTATCAAATCAAATTGATAGTATAAAGATAATGGAAAAAAGATGTGACTACGCAACTATTTTCCCTTTTTCTCTCTTCGAACCTTCTAATCTAATCGGTATTACTGAGAAACGAGGCCTTGGATTCAAAATCAGCTCTTTCTGTAATAGAAATGATTTTGAAACTGCGGTTTATTATTATACAGCGTTCTTATCCTGTCTTTTGTTCTTCAATTTCTCGATAGTACTCAAGAAAAAAAAATAAACAACTTATTTCAAAGTGCAACATAGATAGCGCACACGGACTTCCCTATTCATTTCACTGCTGCATCGTGAAAACCGATGCGAACCGAGACGAGCCAAGTCGCGCAGCGTGATGAACAATGGGATCATCGCTTCCCGCCGTTGCCGCCGCCGCCACCGCCGCCGTCGCCGCCGCTTGTGCAGAGCACGCGAGTTGCGTAACGGACTCTATGCGAGATCTAATTCTCGCGCCGGAACAACAGAGACAACCGACACAGTTCATGACCCGAATACGCGGAGCGTTATCTCTGGACGCGACTTAAAAATAGATCAGGAAGCGCCCGAATGTTTAGAAAAAAAGCGATATTGCCGCGCAACGAAGATAGTATCTGCGCGAACGTGCAGATAAGCGACGTGTACATAGCCTACTTACAGAAGGTCATGAATTTGCAGCTGGAAATT